CACGGCGTATTTCATTTTTGGAACATCAGCATATATTTAAACCGAATATATAGTTGAGTGAGATCGTATTTCATAAGTCTGTATAGGAGAATTCTCAGCCGGCGCGATGCTTTCTCTGAATGCCTGCCCTTGCAAGCGTTGAACATTATTTGGATACGTGACCAACGAACCCTGAAAACTTAGAAGGCACAGTGACTTCTGAAGTTTCAAAACCAACCGTCTTCATCACTCTATAGGAACGAAAATCGCACCCCAAACTTTTGTAACCCCAAACCGTCGCAAAGCTTGGGGGCTTTAACTCATCCGCCTAACCCTCGAATCCCAAGCCGTGCCAACTTCCAAAGTCAACCCCATGTTTCCGACCTTTAGAATCCGAAACCTTCAATCTGTCCACCTAAACCATGATATTCGCCTCTATGTCATGCCCGTGCTGCTCATGCCGGGCGCTCTAAACCCCAAACCCTAGGGATGGCTCTCAAGAAATGCGAGGTGGGCTGGGACCCCAACATCTGGAGATCTGAGACTGACACAGAACATCATGCCCAACAAAATCCGCTATTTCGACATATAAATCCGCCATTCCATGCCTGCTATCCTTCTTAGACCGTGCATTCCGAGCTGAATGTTTCACCGCCCTATAGGCCGGCATTCCAGGGAATTTGCGCCACTTCGACGTGAAATTCCGCCATTTCCGGCTTGCTGAATTTCAGACTTCAGGCCGTTATTCCGGGAAATTCCACCCTTTCGACGTGTATTTCCGCCCTTTCGACGTGAAATTCCGCCCTTTCGGGCTTCCTGAATTTCAGACCGGCAGGCCGTCATTCCTTGAAATTCCGTCCTTTCGACGTGAAATTCCGCCTTTTCGGGCTTCCTGAATTTCAGACCGTCAGGCCGATTTTCCGGGAAATTCCGACGAACAAAATCTGCCATGCTTGGCTGCACGCAGGCCAGCATTCCGGGAAATTCCGCCATTTCGACGTGAAATTCTGCTACGTTCGGCTTCCTGAATTTTAAATCGACGTCAGGCGGCATTCAGCTTCGTACGTGTCTTGGCAGTCATGTTTCCGGGCTAGTCACATGTAAGATTGGCTGGAATATAGTGGCATATCTCTGACGTTAACAGTCGGTCATGATAGATGCCATCCAGCAGCAAACTGGGCTGAGCCTATATGGGTCCCAAGCTTTTGCAGACCCTGAAAACGTCAACTAACAGATCCTATTGCCTTAGCACCTCAGCGGTAGTCAAAGTACCTGTGGATTTAGAAGGCCCAATTTTCAGATAGGATAAGTAACTACTGTTGTGGCTGCTTTGGTTCTGGTTGTACGATTTATCAAGATAGAAAGACAAGGTCTAAACAGGCGAAACAAGCTGCGCATGAGACCTTGACGTTTGCAGTTCAGGTAGTTCGGTAAAAGCCATACAAAATATACTACAGATTGTGAAAATCGAACCTCATTAGGTGGGCCTCAACGTGAACCATTGATTAACATTCAATTGGGATTGCTTGTTGCTCACGCGGCGCGGGCAGCTACCTGATGACGTAAAAATGCCCGCTCAAATTTCCAAAAACGCCTGCTGGGATTTTGAAAAAAGGACGCTCGTCAACAAGCGCTGCCTCCAAAAAAGCCTGTGCACTGATTCTTTTGGACCTCGCCCCAGACCAAGAAAAGCCCATTCCGGGCAATTCCGCCCTCAGCCTCCGAAAAACGCTTTTTAAGCATAAAACCAGTTTTTCTCTAAAGGATGTTTTTTTTATCAACCAAAGGGCTGCCCAGGTAGTCTGAACTCTTACAGGCGGTTATATAGCGATTTTGTAGGGTTCCTATTACAGGGGTGACTGACGTGGATAGTAGGAGTTTAGACTATAGCTCATCTTCTGACGGGGTTACAGGGATTTGTAAGGTTCAAGATTTGCCCGTTTGGGGTAATCCCCAAAACCCTAGGCCCCTAAACCCTAAACCCCTGAAATCCCTAAGACCCTAAACCGTGAATAATTGCTTTAAATGGAATGTGGAAAAGTGAATGGAAGCGGTGGTTATTTAGGGGGTTCTAGGGATGCAAGCCAGCTCTGCTTTGTGATCCTCATGAACCCATGTTCTATGGCACTGGATATCCTGTGAAACCCTAATCCCTTGACCCCTGAATCCGAAACTCTAAAACCTAGCTACATCATGCGTAGGGTTCCAGGGCTTGGGTTTACGGTTCTCTTGTTTTCTAGGGTTTAGTGTTTGAGGGTGCCCGGGGGTTGGGGTTTTTCAGGTTGTGGGTCAAGGGTTGGAGGGCTTTAGCGGGTGTAGGGTCTTATTTGGGGGGTGTACCAGTTCCCTGATGCTCTAAAGCAACCGCCGTAATCCTGTTTGATGCAGCGCTTTCTCCTGGCACTGCGAGGCGTGCCTTTAGCATTGGGGAACTTGGAACCATAGCAAAAATTGTAATTGTTGCTGTTCCTTAGGATTATAATAAGCAAAAAGTAAAAATTATTTCCAATTACCCCTAAGTTAGGGTTCGAAAGTTGGAGTCGCCTGAAATCAGGGCCACCTTTTTGGGCGTCCCCATAAAAAGGACTAGTGTATAAACCCTAAACCCTAAACTCTTTTTAGGGAAAGTACCGAGACGAAGGAATTATTGAAAGCAATATTTCCAGTATAGGTCTAGGTGGTTACATCAAAACGGGAATGAGATATTGATTGCTCATGCTCCTACATTGCCAGGCAGCGCTGGCACAGACGGCAAGGGCTCAGAAACCGTAGTATAGGATGCATCAGTTCTGCCAAGTCTGTGGGCTTCTTAATAAGCCCTCTACAAATCTGCCCTACGGCTCGCTGGTTTGAAAACGCACCCATTATCCTGAAGTTTGGACTTGATGGTCAAGGCTTGAACGAGGGCCGACATAAGCCTCCAGGCTTCAAACCCGAAGGCATTTAACCTCCCTGACATCCTATGACGGCTCGGGTTTAGGGTTTAGGGCTTAGGGTTTTAGTGTTTAGGGTTTAGGGTTTAGGGTTTTAGGGGTTTAGGGTTTTAGGGTTTAGGGTTTAAACTTTAAGACCCCTAAATTCCCTTCACCCCTGCCTTGACCAAATGCCCATAGCACCAGCCTATCTACGCTAAGTTCGGGAGACAAAAAGGCAACTGCTATGGATATCCGAGAGTTTCATGGGAGTTTCCCAAAATTGCGCCGGTGCAGTGCCAGACAAGGACCCATCATTCCCCCATAATCGCTATGTAATGGGCATCCCCTGGAAACCCTGCACCCCAAACTCCTGAATCCTGAACCCCCTAACTAACCCCCTCTACCCTCAGACCCTGAGCCCTAATCTTTAAATCCTAATCCCTAAACCCTAAACCCCAAAAAACCTAAACCTTCAACCCTAAACCCCATACAACCCCCCCCTTAAGGAGTTTAGACCCAAAACCCTACAAACATATAATGCCCTATACAACCCTTTAAGGAGTTTAGACCATAGCTCACATACAACCCATATGAATCCCAATAAACTACCTCTTAATCCCAGTTCCCGTTTCATTTTCCCATCTTCTTTTCCATTTGATTCTCCATTATGAGGCGGATAATCCCAATATCCCTAAACCCTAAACCCCATATAACCAACCCTAAACCCTAAACCCTAAACCCCCCTTTGAGGAGTTGAGACCCTGACTCACATGTTTTACAAAGCAGGCCCAGGGCTTCTCCCACGGCCACGCCGGCAGAGTTGGAGGGAGCCTGGCTTCCACGGAAGGTGTTTTTTGAGGTGTAAATTCTCGGGTTGTAGGGTTTAGGGTTTAGGTGTTATGTGGGGAGAATGGAAATGAAAGTGGAAACTACTATTTAGGGTTTTCGGATTTGAGGCTTAAGATTTTTGAGGCTTATCCCTAAGGGTCCAAGTGCCGAAATATTGGGGTTTTGGGTACCCTCAAGCCTTATTATGTGGGTACTTGGACCCTTAGGGTAAGATTTGGGGATTTTAGGGTTGTAGGGTTTAGGGCTTCAGAGTGTTTAGGGTTCAGGGTTTTCAGGCTTCAGGCTTTCAGAGGTTTAGGGTTTCAGGGTGTAAGGGGTTTGGGGATTGCGGTTTCAGAGGTTTAGGTTTTCAGAGGGTCTCGGTTCCGGGGTTTAGGGTTTCAGAGGTTTAGGGTTCAGGGTTCGGGCTTGCATAGAGTTTTGTGTTTTTTTTGCTTGGGGCTGGCGGCGGGCACGCTTTGGGTTTAGGTGTTTGAGGGGGTTCAGGCTTCAGGCTTGCGAGTTTGGGGCTTTAGTGTTGATGGTAAGGCTTTTGAGGTCAAGGTGTAGGTCTTGCAGGTTTCGGGTCCGGGTCTTGAGCGCTTAGGGTTTGTCATTTGTCAGCGTTTTTTAAGCTCTAGGCCCAGAAGCATCGTCCTCCGTAAGTGCGTAGAGCACCGAGATGCGGAGATTGCAGGTTCTTCATGTAATAATTGCCCATGGAACCACATGTTATGTTCCAACCCCTGAGAATATGTACATAGCAGCAAACCCCACACGGGGGCCCCCAACCCTGATTTCCAGAACGATGGCCCCTACCCTAGGCATCCAAGTATACAAATAATACCTATATATATATATATAGGGCCCTATAAAGTTTGTGAATATGGCCTACATTGGGATATTTGGGGACTTCCGAAAATTGGGATTCTCTTGGGCGAGAGCTGACTCTGGTGATCTAAAAATTTCACCGTCCATGGCAAAGCGCAAAGGAGCTCTTGCTTTTTACCGGCAACAGAAGGTGTAAACTGTCTGATTGAGCTGGTTGCAACATGCAAGCTGCACAGCCTTAGAGGCTCCTATACATAGCCCTCGTGAGCCATCTTGAGCTACAGCACAGATCAGCCGCTTCCTGCACTCCTCCTTGATCCTGTCCTTCGGACAAGGATCACAAGAAGGTTGAATCGTTGTGCTGGAGCTCTCTAAGCTTCCATGCGTTTGCCAACTTTTACATTACCATTTCTCCGGCAGTAATCGTCGACTCAAAAGCCTGCATACTCAAGCGTCTTTCCACCTGGCTAACCAGGCTGTAACTGCGTGCTTTGTCGAAATGTCCAACCACTGAAGGTTACAGCGACAACGAAGTGGCTTGTTTTTGAACAACCACAACACAAACTTGAGCTGTCTGGTTGATGGGGCAACCGCTTCACCTCTCGGCACATTAAGCCGATCTGCAAGCCGCCTAGCCAATACGTCCTTCAAACCCGTGGTCGTCATGCCTTCATCACGAAGGCCACTTCTCAAGCTATCGCAGGTCATCAGCATAAGTACATCCTTGCAAACGCGGAGACGTTCTTGTTCATCTCCTCCATGGCTTGAGGCCTCACTTGATGCTCCCGGCGAAGCCAGCAGGCTCGAGACACTGGCAAACCGAGACCTTGGGGTTGACTGAGCTTCTGGGGTCAGCCGCGAGGCTTCACCTTGCCTTTGTCCTGACCCTGAAGCTACTTCACCGAAACCGCCAAGAGATGCTTCTCGATTCAGTTCTTGAACAGGAACCTGAAGAGGTGCTCTGTCGACCGGAGGAGCTACTGCTGCTGCCAGGGCTTGTTGTACAAGTCTCTGTACTTCCGCAGGGTCTAAAGTTCTCGCAGCTTCATACTTGGCAATCTCTGCTTCAACTGTATGCTTAGCCATTTCTCGCAGGCGCTGAAGCTTCGACTCTCTTCTCGTAGAGCGCTTCAACCAACCGCAAAAAGACTTGACAAGCTCCCATACGACAGCTACCAAAGCCACTATGCCAGATACCATAAGCAGCTCATCCATTCCAGAAGCAGGCAAAAGATCCTTGCCTTTGTCTTTATCTGAATCTGCCGCTTCTGCACCTGGAAGTCGATCCAGAGCCAACACCATACAGCTGAGCACAACCACATGTAGCGCTTGGAGCTGAACCATGTTTTCTGAGAAACCCTCAAAACCCCACTGCTGCAGAAGATCAAGAAGGCGTACTCTGGGATGCATTCTTGTAGACAAATCAGCCAACTGACTGCGTCCTTCCACATGACTCACTTCCAGCAGGCCGCGTTGAACCTGTTCACGAATGAAAGAACAACGTACACGCAAGTGTCTGGTTCTCCAAGACCCAGCTCCACCACAAAGCATGGCCGTTGCTGCACTGTTGTCTACGCGCAGCTGACGGGGAATCCGCCTTCCGCAAATCTCATCTACAAGGCAGCCAATACACTCCAGGAGAGTAGCAGCATTAGTTGCCTCAAGCAACTCGCTTTCCATTGTCGAAAGGGTTGTCATCGCCTGCTTACCAGCCTTCCAAGCAACTGGCCCACCGTTCACAGTTACCACAGAGGCACCATACGACCTTTCACCATAAGGAGCAAAGCTGGAATCACTATAACCTACTAAAACAACCTCTGCTGTATCAACTGCTGTTGCTGGTGCGCTGCTGCTGCTGCTGCTGCTGCTGCTGCTGACATGCCCTTCTCCAAGAACAAGCTTGAGGTTCAAGGTCGACACTAAGTAGGAAAGCACGCGTTTGGCAATGCGAGTCACCCTCCTTGGATGTTTCGCTACCCATTGGGCCATGTGCACAACCACAAACTGAAGATCCGGACGACGCCTCATAGTCAGCCACAACTGCTCTCCAACCATACGCTGGCCAAAACGAAGCTCTGACTCACTAAAATCCTCAGGGTCTCCTGAGATATCGTCGGCAACCCATTCCTTTGGACAAGGGAGAAGAGTTCCAGGAGCATCTTGCATGCCATGCGAGCGAAGGAGGTCAAGGATATACTCTCTCTGGTGAATCTCGAAGGCTCCAGAAGATCTTTGAAAAACCTCCATGCCAAGATATCGTGTGCCACCAGGAGAAGAGGCCCATTCTAGAGCACTACATGGCCACTCCTCAACAACCCAAGCATGGACCGTAGCGACGATCTCGCTCTCTGAGAGGTAGAACAAATCATCTACATAAGTAATGATACATCCCACCAAACTCTCCTCGTCCTCGAAGGCAATGAGCCAAAGCTCTGGGTCAACTTTCGACGCTCTTAGGACCAAATGCTTGTCCTTGTACTGAATGCGGGCCTGCGAAAGCCTCCTAGAGCGGTAGGCCGCCCAGATGGCAGGTGACTCACGAAGGCCGTACAACGGCCTCCGAACAAGCCAGTAAGCTTCTTCAGAAATGTAGTTGTTTTCGATGAGGAGTCTTGGCGGTACTACCGCGTAGCGGTGTAAGTGCTCGGGCCAAGGCGCGAGAAGGAATGCCCCAGTAATGTCAGCCGTGGCACCCTGCCACTTTCTCTGGGCTGCCACCACCAAAACCGTCCTGAACGCTTCAGCTGAGGCACCCCCAGCATACAACGAGCCGAACTGTTCTTCGGGCGCGGCAAAGTTGCCGCGCAATACTAAGCGGAACTTCCGCTTGTATTTTTTGTCTTCGCCGCCAGGAGGTTTCAGGGTATATACGCCCTTGCTCGGTACAAGTCTGAGGACTCCTTGCCGTTCGAGACGTCTAGCCTCTTCTCGACTTATCTCCTCCAAGGTTCCACCCCTGATCAGATTGTTCAGCTCCTTGCATATAGCAGCATGCCATCTGTTCACCACAGGCCTGACTTGCTGCAATGGAACTGTATGCACGACTTGAAGGTCCCCCTCCAGGAGCTCGAGAAGCCGCTCATAGTCAGGCTCATTGGATTCGACTGCAGCCTTCAGGCACACCTTCAGCACCGCACGATCACATGCAGACAATCTCTGGGCCGCCCTTTCACACATCTGGGTGATGCAATTTTGCACTCGCTCGGCCTCCTCCTCAACCAAGCTGCCAGCCTGCCGCAAGTCTTCCGCCAACAGCTTCTCCTCCTCAAGAAGCAGCCTTAAGGATTGGCTCCGTTCTTGTAAATCTTCAAGAAGTTGACCATGGGCCTCGTTAAGACTGATCAGAGAAGACCTGCCTTCATGTACGTCGGCTTCAGGATCTTCTTCCTCTAGACTCTAGGGACAACCCATACTTGTCTTCGCCTTGTTTGACGTCGTTCTCTTCTTTGCCAAAAGGAAGAAAGCCCAAGTCCTTGAGGTGCTCAAACTCCTTCTCGCTCAGGTTCGAGAGCCTAGGTGTGTGCGCAATCATCATGACCCTTTCTCCATGATGGGGCTGAACTTCATGCCATTTCATGGGATCAAAAGAGAAAGTCTTGCCCTTCTCCGTTTTAATGATCTTGCCCTTGATCTCCACACCCGGCTTGACCTCCTTAGACACCGTGTCGCCCTCGAACTTTGAAGCCTCTTCATCCTCAAGCTCTGTCCACAACCCACCATCTTGAAAGGAAGTCAAAGGACACAGCCAGTTTCGTGAACCTGGACGATTATGAAAGTCACGATGAGCTCGCCCTCCACCATTTCTCTGAAGAGCCACTGAGGCAAACTGCTCAACTCCCATGACCTCTCGCGCAAACTTAGCCAGGAACTTTGTGACATTGGGCAAACGCTTTGCTCCATCACGGAGTCCAGAGACACCCCCATGAGTAAACGCTCCAGTCGCCCAGCTCGTTGCCTTACCCAGTGGCCGTCGACGCGATGCCCTTGAGAAGATCTGCTGCGCCTCTTCAAGGGTCTTGACCAGCTGCAAAACCAAAACGGTGCCCATGACCCCGGCCTTGAGATACGATTCTGCTAACTCCTCCGCCCTGCGCTCCGGTTCTGTCAATGGCTTTAAGGCTCTAACAGCCACACAGCCCGCGTCACGCCCTGATGGATCTTCATGGTCTAATGGAACTTCAGCGGGATCTAAAAGGTCTCCTGATACCTTATACATCATGATCTGCGGGAAACCCTTTCCGAAGAACCCCACCATAGGTGCCTCCTCATCTGTCCACACTCCAGCCGCATCCATATGCCCTCCGTCACGCCCTGATGGATCTTCATGGTCTAAGGGAACTTCAGGGGGATCTGGGAGGTCTTCTTCAGGAACAACCTCATGAACTTCAAGAGGACGCTTACCATCAACTCTCCTTGAAGGCGCAGGAAAGGTAGCCTCCACTGGGGCCAACGGTACGAAAGCATCCGGATCCTCCGCGTTGGGCCTGACACGCATTGAGGTCACAATCTTCCCAGAAGGAAACCTGACAACATGTCCTTGTCTAACTTCATGTGAGGGACCCACATATACTCCGCCTTGCCATCGTTCATCAAGATCGAACTTGCCGCCAGTCCCGTACACCTTGCTCTTAACCAACACTGGGGATCCAAAAGGCACCACACCCTTGAACCTGCCAAGAGCCCACTCCCGCTGTTGAAACGCTGCAAAGGTCATTGCAAAAGGCCAGCAGCAAGGATCCAGCCCAGCAGCTCTAAGGAGAGTTTTTGGTTCGGGTTTTTGCTCTTCGAACTCCTGCCTCAGCTCGTCCATTAGTCTGCGGCGCCTGAGCCTCACCAGTGGTGGGGATGACGTCTCGATGAAGCAGCCACTCCCTAAGCTTGCTCCCTCTTAGCTCTCGCGCACGATCAGAATGAACACGAGTGACGGGAAGCCCTTCAGAACGTATCTGGAGGTAGATCTGCTTGACTGCCTGCTCAATTTCCGGAGTCAACCGGGACTTAAGGGGGATTGCATCGTGGAGGGTTTGGTACTCCATGGTGTCGCCAATCTCCTTATACAAGGCCTGGAACCTCTCGTTGGACTTGTCAATGTCAGCTTGGTCCTGAAGATCTATAGGAGGATCAGGAGGCCCATGCTCGTCAAGGAAGTCTTCTTCAGGGAAGGCTTCTTCAGGTTCCAGATCTGGATTCTCGGGAATTGGGACATCCTTGTAGCCATCAAGTTTGGGCATCAGGTACGTTCCAACCAGAGCATACCTGAAGCCTTTAGAGCCACCATATTCCCCTTTCTTCCGGAACGGTCCACACACATCCAGGGACAGGGTGTAGCAAGATGGCGCAAGAATGTCCTGTAGCTGCGGTTTGAATACATGTTCTGCAGCGCCTATCAAAAGGCAGGTACCCATTGGCCACATGTCGCCTCCAGTAGCGGAGATCCTTGTCTGTCCAAGGGGCGTCGGAGTCCAGCTTATGGAGCATATACCCCAGGAACATTTCATCCGGCTTGAGGCGCCAACGATCCACAGCAGCACCAACCTCGTGTTGAAACGGTCGTTTCCAGATATTTGGCCAAGCCTTACCAGCTAGTCCTTCTGGTACCTCAACACTGTTAGGAGATAGGAGACCTCCCTTCATGGCAAGATTCGTGGCGATCAGGTAGTTGTTCCCATCATCCTTGAACTCAACCTGCATCATGGGAACATGGTACTCCTGTCGAAAGGAGTTCCACATATCCAGCTTCCACTTGGAGCTCGCCGGAGTTGATCCCAAAAGCAGGTATGGTGGAGCAAAACCATGCATGACGGCGCCCTGACGTGCCACAGTCCAAATCAAGAGCTGCTTGGCCAGGAGCTCCAAGCCATCATTCACTGGGGGGTTTCCGATAACACCCTCTACTTGCCCTCGTGCTGCTGCCCGCATCAAGGCCTTGTACATGGCACTGTCACCCTTCAGGGAGAACCGCTTGCTCCTTGCCACATTGCAGTCAATCACAACAGCTTCCTCAGAGTTGCTTATTGAGATGTCCGCTTCTCCTTCACGTCGAAAAAGTCTCACAACCCAACGTCTAGTCATCATGGACTTTCTTGCAGCTCTGTTCAAAGGAAGAGCCTTGAGATACTTCCAGCCCTGCTTATCATCCAAACCCACATGGACAGCAGCGAGCGACACAACATGCTGAGGCAAGGATCCAAGCGGAGAGGTTGGGGACGTCAAGGCTTCAAGCAAACTCTCACGAGCCCCCGCCGTAACAAACTTGCTCAGCATGAAATCCCAGGACTTCAAGCCCTCGGCATCCAAAGTGCGAACAAACGTCTCAGCCATGGAACCTTCCAACGCCTGAAGTTGCGCATCCTCAAGCTGAGAGATGATTTCCAAGGCCTGAGTCTCAGCCAGCATCGGGTGGTTGCCCTTGATTGACAAAGGTCTTCAAAACACCAAACTGAGGATGCACCACCTTAAGTCCGCCCTTTCGAGTCCACGAAAGGTCACATCCAAGCTGCTGTACCAAAGCTCCAAGAGGAAGGATTGGCGTCGCATTGGCCGCTTCAGGATCATCAGCTGCTGCCAGAAGGGTTCCCGCTTTATTCTGCTTAAGAGTAACGAACCGTCCTCCAGCCAGTTCAACACGAACAGGAGCAGCCCTTTCGACGTCAGCACGCCCAGCAGTCTTAAAGGCATGCGAGGCCCCAGTGTCCAACAACGCCAAGCCCTCATCAAACTCTAGACCTGCAGCCTTGATGCCCGCTCTCAGTTCTCCAAGACTCTCATTGGTCTTCACCTCCATGGCCTGGAGACGCGTGAGCTTACTCAGCATGGCATTAGCCTCTTTGATAAGGTCCTTGACTTCTGATTCTTCTGGTCGCGAAGGTTCTGAAGCAGATACTTGCGGTGCTTGCTGAGGTACACTTGCAGGTTGGTTTGGAGCTTGCACCGAAGACGTCAGCCCATTGACTGCGTTCTGCACTGCCTGAATCGACTCAAGGATGGCTTGCTGCCTCAAAGAAGGGGAACTATCTAACAAAGACGCCTGCTGCAACGTCGATGTTGAAGATGCCGCACCTGGCTGGCCAGTATCCTTACCAGAGGACTTAGGGGACTTTCCAGTCCTCGCTGCCAGCACTGGACAATCTCCTTTACGATGAGCTTGGCTTCCGCATTCCCGACACCGGGATTTCTTATCCTCCTGGGACTCGAAGGTGTGGTCAAACTTGCAAGCCGAGCCCTTATAGCATCCTGTCTTAGAAGAAAAGAACTTGCAAGGAGCCTTGGCATTTCCCTTTCTTCCACCAGTCTGTGACGCACCAATAGCCTTTAAAGCAGTTGCCGAAGAGGGAGATGCTACTGGTGCAATCATCTGAAGCTCTGCTAAGACGTGGGTGTAAAAACGGAGTACTGCTTCCAGAGTCGGCCGACCTTGAAGCTGGAGCTCATTCTTGGTAAGGTCCACCCAGAACTTGACCTCCGGAAAGCTTGCAGCACCTTCTTGATCATGGTCTCCAATGCCCTCAGCAGGATGGACGAGTCTGGGATCGCCACGTGCATAGCTTCTGCACGCTCCAAGTATCTCCGCCACTTCCGCAAAGCTGCAATGCACTCGTGTACATCTTCCCCAACTGGCCTACCTGCAAGGTGTTTCAAGACCGCTGCTCTCTCTGAAACTCCGCCAGGCTGGTAAAGAACATGAAGTCTGAACAGCAGCGAGGGAACGTCCAAGATGCGATGCGTAATTGCATCTTCCTTCGCTGGTCTCCTCATGGCTCCAAGAAGAAGCGTCATCACTCGCCTCTCAAGTCTGGCCCATTTTTCATCCCTCAAAGTGTCAGGAATGACAGGTTTCATAGCCAGTCTGTTCAGAGGAGATGCCAGCGAGTACTCTGCGTAAGCCCGTTGGGCCACCTCCAGGCAAGCGGCAAACCATGTCGAGGCCTTATCTGACAAGCTGCCAATGGCCTGTTCCACTTCATACAGCCAATCTGCAAAAGCCACCGAGGCTTCAGGGCCGGTGTCCGGCATAGGGGGAACTTCAACCGTTCCCTTCAGCTCCGAGTCCTTAGCGTCGGACTTCCCGATGTAAGCTTGCTGAAGCTGTCTCATACCCTGCACCAGGAGATGCAGAGGTTCCTCACGAACGGTGCCGCTATCCACAGAGGACATGTGCGCAGGTCCAGGCGCTACTTCAGCTCGCAAACTTCCACCACTCTGGCCTCCATGATCCAACGGTCTCCCGAGACCACCTGCAGGTACACTTTGAGGTACTCCTGCGCAAGGAAGATTGCCGCTGGGTTCCTGGGCACGAGAATATACTTGAAGAGGATCCCCTTGAGGAACATGAGGTTCTGGAACGCGGCTCGCTGAGCTTAGGACAGGTTCTAAGCCTGACCTCTCAAAACGATCTCCACCAGGGCACCCTCGCTCATGTCCTACACCCTCCTCACGAAGATTCAAACTTGAAGACTGCAAAGCCCTCCTCAAAGACTCATTCTGCTGCCGCAAATCCTTAAGCTCGTTATCCTTAGACGCCATAGCCAACTGGACATGCCTTCTCACCTCTTCTCTTACCAACTCGGAAGAAAGACTCCCAGTTGAACCCTCATCCCTTGTGGCCGTACCAGCGCAGGGGCCCGGTGTAATCAACGACCTCCTATTGGTCAGCTCCTGCATAGCTTCTGCAACGGCCGGTTGGAGCAAACCTTCACGATGAGGGTCACTGCTAACCTGGGCCGCGGCTGCTTCAGGATGAGGGAACGGAGCTTGTGCAGGTGAGCCTCTAGAAACATGTTGAACAACAGGATCAATGACTCTCCTTCTCAAAGCATGTCCAGCTCGCGCTAGCCCTGCAAACATGCCGCTTCGAGATGCTTCTTCAGCATTTACTCGAAGATGATGAGGTAGGGGAGGAGGATCACCAGGTGCATGGTTGGGGTAACTCTGAAAGGCCAAACCACTACCAACGTCCATTGCATCACCCTGATAAACGTTCTCAGAACTGAACTCCATCTGGCCCTGCCCTAACACCGCCTGGAACTGCATACGTTGTCCCATTGAAGCTGCTGCCGACGACAGCTTGCCCAGGCCTTCAAGACTGACGTTTTTGGGTGGTGAAGCGCGATCAACCGGAATGGCCGATATAGCAACGAGAGCCGGGCTGGACGATACGACGCACGCTGTAAGGGGTGAAGCTGGGATTACTAGGGAACCCCAAGGGCCCTTAGGTACAAACCAACCTCAGCAAGCAGCTACAGCCCCGCAAGCAACCACTCCACAGCCAACCCCACCAGCATCCACTCTGCCACTGAGCAACATACAGCCGCAGCAGCCTCAGCAGATGACGCCAACACAGCATGCCTTTGTTTCTCAGAGAGTGACTCCTTCACCGTATCCCTCGCCAACACAATACCCTGATCCTGGAAGCATTCCTCAGCCCGTGCAGGTTGTCCGCTCATGGACGGCTCAGATGGCATCTCGAGAGCTTCCACCGGGTTCCAAAGCCGCGTTCGCACTGCCACCTCCACCTTGAACACCATTCACCTGAGCTCCAGTCATCGTAGCCCCATAGTTTGGACCCATCAGCTCACCTTCCATAGTCGCAGTGGTCCGGGTTGGGCTCATCACCTCTTGGGCGAGAGCTGACTCTGGTGATCTAAAAATGTCACCGTCCATGGCAAAGCGCAAAGGAGCTCTTGCTTTTTACCGGCAACAGAAAGTGTAAACTGTCTGATTGAGCTGGTTGCAACATGCAAGCTGCACAGCCTTAGAGGCTCCTATACATAGCCCTCGTGAGCCATCTTGAGCTACAGCACAGATCAGCCGCTTCCTGCAGATTCCCATTTTGGGGTCCGTATAATACCCTAAGGGTCCAAGGACCCAAATAATAGTGCTTTAGGGCCCAAATACCATTCATATTATGGAAGAAAACTCATTATTTGGGTCCTTGGACCCTTAGGGATGAGGACTATAGTATTTTGTGGTCTATATCGTGTGCCCTTTTTTGAAACCTATCGTCGTTTGGATCCCTAGGGCTGTAACTGTGGCCAGGAAGTGGCTGTGATGGTTCCTACGGAGATGCCATCGCCCACATCCGCTCACTTCGCGGGTGCACCAGAGGCCCCGAAACCTCAACCCGAAGATCAGGAAATGTTCGATATACCTGGACCCGAAACGTAGGTGAAATGATGGCCCCAAATCCTTAAAGATATTCTACATACTTTGTGGGTTCAGGTAAGAATGTTAGGGCCTGAGATTGAATATCCAAAGAGCTTGAAGGTTTCGTGTTTCACGAGATTAGGACTCTAGTTGGGGATTCAGGCTAATTCATGTGAGCTGTAGTCGAAACTCCTTTAAGGGGGGGTCATATGAGGGATTATATAGGGGGTGGGGTACTAGGAGTTTAGACTATATAGCTCATGGAAAGCCTTGGATTCATGGTTTGCTTGGAAGGCTCGAGCTTTGGATTTGGCGTTTACAGTTTACCCAAGGGCTCGTATGTACTTTTTTTTTGGTCTGTTATGGTTGTTTGGGTAGTTAGGGTAGTGCAAGAGTTGGGACTACGAACCTAGGCTTTACATGGAATTGGGAATTTTCGGTTTACTACTCGCTGCGTTATCGTTTCTGTGCTTGGAGGGTAGTAGCGCCCTGCAGCAGCTGCATCCGTCAGTCTGAAACACGTACCCTAAGCCCTTGGTTGCTGTGGTTGTGAGGTTGTGGGGTTTAGAGCCATGGTCCCCTGGATGTGAGTGGGGTTCTCAAGGTTGTCATGGTTTGGGTGGTCGTTATGAAGTCCTAGAACATTCTGTAATCCAGAAGTCAAGTCCTCAAGCAAAAGAAAGACCCAAACCTTAAACTGCAAACCACAAACCCTAAACCCTAATGATCCTGTATGTATGTGTCCCCATTACCTTCCTCCCCCGTTTCCATTCATATCCCTTCTGATTCTTCATTACGGGCTTGTGAAGGATAAGGCCTGAGTCCAAAGCTACCCTGAACCCTAAAACCCTAAACCCCAAACCCTAGAACCCCTAAACCCTTAAAACCCTAAACCCTAAACCCGGATCACGGCCAGGGACCCGTCGTACTGCCCCAGGACTCACACACGTGCATGTCTTGGGTACTGTTAGACTATAATGTAGGGTTTAGGGTTTGGCGTTGTGATATAGTGGATGTGTGGGCATGTGGGGGTTATATAGACATGATGGAAATGAACATGGAAACTACTGTAATATCTTTGGCGGGCTTTGGGGTTGAAGGATTAAGGTTTCGGGCTTCGGGGATTAAATTAGGGGGGTTCAAGATTAGGGCAATATTTAGGGAGTCATTTTTCCGGATTTGGAAGTTGTCTGCCTCAGAGTATAGTGGTGTGCTTCACATGGATCCTGGTTGGATGTGAGAGAATGGTGGTAGAGCTGCTTGACGATGAGGCACGAATTCTGCGCTGCCTTTCTTTTTGTTCAGACCTTCGATCTGTTGCCATGCGGCTGCTTCTGTTGCGGCAGTACGACATCTGTACCATTTGCATTGGACACATGTCGGCCTCGTTCTGCAAGTTTGACACAATCCAACCTCTCTTTGTTATAGTGGTGTGAGGCCAAACCCTAAATCTTAAGCGTATGTCTCTTCTGCGATGCACCCTACAAAATGTTTCTCAAGCTCCTAAATGGCGAGCGCCGGCCGCTTGCAAGCCCTTGACCTAAATAAGTTAGGGTCTACGGTGTAAAGGGCCCTTAATCTTATACGCTGAGCCTGATCCTAAGCCCTAAATCCCATACCCTAAGCCCTATGCCCGAAAGAGGGGCGAGATGAGGGGAAATCATTGTAAGAAACTTCGGAAGTTCACTGTCTTTGCCAAACGGGGCATCAGAATATAGGATTAACTTAAGGACTCAAAGTTTAAGCTTATAGGGTTTCGGGTTCAGGCGTAGTACTTAGGATGTATGGTTTAGTGTGGAAGGTTTTGGATTTTTGTTCCCTCCCCTTTCCGCAGGAATTTTCTTCTGCTGTGGCGATGTCCTCATCAGCGTCGAACTCAGGGATAAAAGAGTCAAGGGCAACACCCTAAACACGCAGGCCATAAGATTTGAAATGACGCAGTATAAAAGCGTGAAGCAGTCGGAGTAGTACTATCCTCTTGCGGTCTTGAAATAGGGGTTTCCCAAAATTAGGGGCACCGTTTTTGGAGGTCCCATGATACGGATTATAGTATTTCGGAGTCTATAGGGTCCCCCTATTTGGGGAAACTGCCGAAGAGCTCTCTAGTATAATGCAACCCAAATCCCCATGCTAGTCACTTAGGCCTTTACCGTACGTTAGGTTTCAGGGTTTTTTGGGGAGCTGGATTTTTTGGACGCTTGAGGGTCGCTGAATCCCAAGTCCCCAAAAACATGCAACCTTAAGCCCTGCATAAACACCTTAAAGGTCATAGGCGGTTTAGGGCTTAGGGTCCCTAAGCCCTCAACCCTCTTAGACACCTGACCCTGGGCTGCCCTGCGGCGTTTAGGGTTTAGGGCAAGGGTTTAGGGTTAAGATTGGGATCTAAAGCCCGAAAGGCCCCACCAGATCCAAAGCCGATAAGACTCCCAATGCCTTTCGAGCAGTTAACCTCAGCTGAGTAGTATTTTATTTGGGAATACTATGGTACCCAATACAAGGCCCAAGCGAAAGCAGTGCCAGAGTAGTAGCCACCTCTGGCCAGATGGGCAAGGCAGCGGATCCGGCAATTCTCCTTGCCGCCGCCATTAGAGCTGCCTGCTTGGCGAAGGCACCCAGGCGCACTGTACAAGGTGTGGCTGCTGCGGTTGCGGCTGTTGTGATGCAAGCTTCCACGGCCCCACTTGCTACGGACACTGG